ACGTTTCCCTTTGAGGACTTTTTTCATTTCATCCAGGGAATAAAGCAACCAAACAAATGTTGTTTGGGTGAGGTCGGGTGAATAGGGAGGGTGGGGCATGGGAGTCATGTTGTTTTTGGTCAAAAACTGCTGAACACTCAGCGTGGCATGGACAGGTGCACTTGTGAATCATCCAGGATGAAATGGCCAAATGCATTAAAAGAATCTCAAAAAAAAAAAAAATTCACTGAAGCCTAATGCAGCCTCTCACAACAACACTAAGTGGTACACTGTTGCCAATGAGTTCCTAGAACACTTACCTAGTGGGGAAAGCCTGTACAAGGGGTCCATCTTCCAAAAGATAATTTCTTTTTGGGGGGGGTCCCCCTTGTTTAACTTTAGGATGTATGACGCTGGAAATGGTTTTATAGTCATATGGGAGCTCCAGGAGCTCATGTTGGCAATGCCATTGCAAAGTATAATTTCAAACCATTAAAACCATGACTCTCATATAAAAAGAACAGAAAAAGTATTTGACTCCATTAATGAGGAGATCAGGAAGATGTTATGACTGGTTTAGAAGAAAACCAAGGAGATTTTAGTTGGTCAAAGAAATGCAGAAATAAATTTGCAGACAATGCAAAACTGGTGAATGTCACACTAGACAATGACCGATATAACAAGAATCATTTGCATGGTTGTCAGCTTTCTGCAAGTTAACCTCTATTTTCATAAGGTTGCCAAACAGCCTTCTTAATCAATCAGCAAGAGGTACACAGTCACAGAAAATGAGAGGCAGCACAGGTGTCTAGAAATCTAGCACTGCAAGAAAGGATACTCAGTATTATTTTACTTCTTTCTAAGTTTTGCATACTTGCTGTTGACACTTTTTACTCTAAGAAAGATATGAAAACCAAACCAGTGCGTTTGTCTATGACATATTTGTAACTAGATATATAAAGGTGAACTGAAACCAGTTTCCCTCTACTCCCCCATCCCTACTGCCTCATTCATTATAAAATTTGGAGTCAGATTGCTTGGGTTTCAAATAATGGTTCCACCATTTATGACTGGGTGACGTTGGGCACATTACTTAACCTCTCTGTGCCACAGTTTCATCACTATAAAATAGGATTGAATAATAGTACCTTTTACTTTGTTATGAGGATTAAATGAGATAATGCATATGTACTAAAAAATGTGAGTTACATTGCTGTTACTTAGAAAGGATTTGTTAGTCTGCCAAAGTCTTTATTCAGATATTACAACATTTTGAGAAATAATTTGTCTTACACTGATGTAGATATGGCTCTATACTTTATAGCAGAAGCAAAAATAATTAGGCTGTTGAAATGAGCCAGTCAGTAACTAGTAATTAAACTTGTTTAAGAGATTACAATATGCCTAGGCAACATAGCAAGACCTTGTCTCTACAAAAAATAAAAAAATTAGCCAGACATGGTGGCATGTGCCTGTAGTCCCAGCTCCTGGGGAGGCTGAGGCAGAAGGATTGCCTGAGCCCAGGAGATTGAGGCTGCAGTGAGCCATGATTGTGCCACTGCATTCCAGCCTGGGTGACAGAGTACGATCCCAACACACACACACACACACACACACACACACACACACACACACACACAAAACACATACACACACAAACACACATATGCACACACAAAGATTACAATAAATTCCTTATGTGTCAAAAGGGTAATTCGTTTCTTCCAACTTTGACATTAAAGGAACAAACATGAATAGGGCAGGAGTGGCAAGAAACTAAAATTCCTTGAGTGAAGATGTCCCAGGCATTGTGTTTGCCATACACTAATTACATAGCAACAACTGACTATTTTCAGAAGGAGAAAGGTTGTTTTTTTTTCCCCCTGGAGACATGCTATAGAATGAAAAATGGGAAGGGAAAATAACCAAAAGAAAAATACTTTGAAGTCTTAGAAACTGGGTTACTGCCAGGTTTGGTGGCTCAGCCTGTAATCCCAGCACTTTGGGAGGCTGAGGTGAGTGGATTGCCTGAGCCCGTGAGTTCGAGACCCGCCTGGGCAGCGAGACCTCATCTCTACAATAAATCAAAAAATCAGCCGGGCATGGTAGCGCATGCCTGTAATTCCGGCTACTTGGAAGGCTGAGGCGGAAGGATCACCGGAGCCCAGCAGGTCGAGGCTGCGGTGGCCGGAAGTGGCCACTGCACTCCAGTCTGGGCGACAGAGTGAGACTCCAACTCAAAAATAAAAAAAAAAAAAAAAAAAAAAGAAACTGGGTTACCAAGTGAGTCAAACAGCAAAAGCAGTGGTTCAAAGAGTATTTCAGCTTTAATCATTTATTCTACCTAACACAAAAGAAAAAAATTAAATATTCTCTTAATTTTAAATTATATTTACCAACACATTGCTGGTAATATATGCCCTTTCACTATGTATTGTTATTTTTGCTTTGCCCACAAAATGAGGAAAATACTGAATAAATATACATTTTATTAAACACAAACATATACAACTGTGTTATAATTGATATAAATCAGTTACGTCTCACTCTCCCCAGCCAAGTTTTGGCTAACACATCCTTAAATTAAAATACAACAAAAGCATAGAGGAATAGGTCACCAAAAACCTAGTGGATAATGGCTAACTAAGTGCTGAAGTTTTATTTTTTATTTTTTTGAGTTGGAGTCTCACTCCGTCGCCCAGACTGGAGTGCAGTGGCTGCTCCCGGCCACCGCAGCCTCGACCTGCTGGGCTCCGGCGATCCTTCCGCCTCAGCCTTCCAAGTAGCTGGAACTACAGGCACGCGCTAACACACCCGGCTAATTTTTTGATTTATTGTACAGATGAGGTCTCGCCAAGTTGCCCAGGCGGGTCACGAACCCACGGGCTCAGGCAATCCACTCACCTCAGTCTCCTAAGGCGCAAGATTACAGGCTGAGCCACTGAGCCTGGCTAGTGCTGAAGTTTAGAACTGAACAGGAAATAGCTATAAACCAAAGTAGAAAGCAAAATAATAAAGAAAAATGACAATTCATCTTAAAGCAGGCTAAATTTTAATATACTGAATGCTGAAAAAATGTTTCTAAAATGTTAGTTTTCAAGAGGACGCTTCTATGTTAAACTGAACACAAAAGAGAATTTCCCTAAAGAAATTTTCCATTTTTTAAGTTGGAGTCTCTCTCTGCCACCCCGGGTGGAGTGCAGTGGCACACTCACAGCCACCACAGCCTCGGCCTGCTAGGCTCAGGCAATTCTTCTGCCTTAGCCTTCCAAGTAGCTGGAACTACAGGCACATGCTACCATGCCCGGCTTATTTTTTTTATTTATTGTAGAGATGAGTTCTCACCAAGTTGCCCAGGCTGGTCTCGAATCCCTGAGCTCAGGCAATCCTCTCACCTCAGCCTCCCAAAGTGCTGGGATTACAGGTTTGAACCACGTTGCCTGGCAAGAAATTCTCTAAGCCAAAGACAAATAGTTTTCAAGAGGACATTTCTAGGTTAAACTGAACACAAAAGAGAAGTTCTCTAAAGAAGTTTTCTGAGCCAAAGGCAAATTGAATTATGCTTGAAAAACAAAAGCAAAGACCAATAATGCCTGTCTCTCTTCCCCGCCCACTTCTTCAGATTTGCTTTCATGTACGTTTTCCTGCTGAAGGCCATTTGTTAATTCTATGCTCTGTTATTTCAACACACCCAAATCTAGACTTAACCTTTCATGTCCTAATAGATTGATGAATGAGACAATTATTTTCAGTCCCTCATGAGCTGGGAAACTGCATTCTGGATATAACTCAAACATATATAGATGTACAGCTTGCTAAGCTTCCGACTGAAGAAACCCTAACTTATTTCAAAAGGATAATATTTATGACCACTATTAAAAATTTCTTGTATAATTCTAAGGAAGTATCAAGAGAGGAACTATGATCAAAACTGAAAATGATTTCTCACAATATTTAATGTGTTCAAGCTTTTATGCAAAAACTTGTAAATAAAACAACAATGCTGAGCTAGCTTTTTTTTTTTTTTTTGAGTTGGAGTCTCACTCTGTCACCCAGACTGGAATGCAGTGGCCGGGAGCGGCCACTACAACCTTGACCTGCTGGGCTCCGGTGATCCCTCTCCCTCGGCCTTCCTTAGCTGGACAGGCATGTACTACCAAGCTCAGCTAATTTTTGATTTTATTGTAAAGATGAGGTCTCACCAACTTGCCCAGATGGGTCTCGAACCCGCAGACTCAGGCAATCCACTCACCTCAGCCTCCCAAAGCACTGGGATTACAGGCTGAGCCACCGAACCTGGCTTGAGCTAGTTTTTTTTAAAAAGGCTTTAAAAAAGCTAAACATGAGTTTATAGGTAGATTGGATATTTACTATTTTGAGAGGAAATAAGCAAAGTTAACAAAATGATGCTAGAAAATAAACACATTAATTTATAACGGCATGCATCTCTAGTTTCTTACCAAAGATCCTTAGATTGCAAAAATTTGTAAAAATTAAAAAGAAAAAAAACTGAGAAAATTAAATGCTTGATGGATATATCAAAAGCTTTCCACAACTGGAAATACATTAAAATATGTTTGTTTATTTTTAAGAGGAAACGACGGTGAAAGCCTTTCACCTATAGTGACCATTTTAAAGTTCCTTAGAAATTAGCATTCATGATTCAAATACTTATGAGACAGTGCACCTGTCTTCAAGTGTCTAGAAGTTACAACAACAAATAACAGATTTTGAGAGCCAAGGGGCACTGATACTAAATGCAAATAAGACTATTACCTACACTGTACTAGATAACTAGGACTGCTTAAAATGGTAGGTTTAAGAAGAGCTTATTTTTGAAAACTTAACTTGGAATGAAATCCCTATCATAGAAATGTGCTATGTTAAGGTTTTCCTTTTATATAATAAAACAACAATAAAAGGAAAGTGGAATTATACACAATGAAAAAAAATAGAAATTATATATTGCAAGCAGAAATGCTAGAATAGTGTGAAGAAACATTAAAACAACCATTACCATCTGAAGTGGTATGTCTTTTTTAATGTACTCTGAACTGTGATTGAACTCTTTAATAAAACAATAAATGCAAAAATGCCTGTTAACAATGTTATCATCCAACATTTTTGTTTTCTATTCTAGGGTGTGTATTTTTAATCCTGGGACAAAATTGGTAGCCCAAATCTTTATTTCACCTTAAACTAACTTTTATTTCTTGTCCTCTTCCCTATTCTCCAAGTCAACTTACAGAGTTTTATGATAACTGATCTGGTTCTTGACACTCCTCAACTCATTCTTGTAGTACCCTTGTACAGAGTTCAAAGTCCATATATACTGTTAAGTATCAATAAATCAAGAGACTACAGTAAATCAAGATATTAGAGGTTCAGTTTGGAAGCTACATTTAAAAGTACTTTTGCTAAAGCTGAAGACCATTTTATGTTACATGATCTACTGTCTATTAGTTCAAATAGTGTGGCAAATAAAAAATAGCTGATATTGATGAAACTGTGATATGGCTAGCAGAACTGATATCTGTATCAACTCTTGATGTAGAAAATTCACTACTCACTAAATATGTGAATAATAGCTAGGTTAATAATGTTTAAATACAAAAGTTTAAAAACTGCACAAAGATGCTATGAATATTCTTTATGTACACCAGTAAAAAGCTAATTTAAATCAATGAGAAGGAAGTTTAGAATTAGATTGTTTTCTTTATGGATGTTTAAATATATATATATATTTCCATAGAGTTTTTATATGTTCTATGCATTGATCTTCTTTTGCCTACAATCCTTTTTATCTCAAGGATGAAAACCCAAATCTTAAAAGCTCTGTGGGCCATTCATTTGCTTGTATTTGAGTCCTCACAGAGAGGGGAGGAGGCACCCTGGCACGGGAATGTGAGGGATGGAGCATCAAAGCGAGCATGAGTTACGTTATGCTTCTAGAGGATATGGCGCTGGCATCTCAGGATATTAGAGAGCTGGGAGAAGAGGAAGTCTCAAAAGACTCTATAGCTATCCATCTGGGATTAGAGATCTTTGATTTTAGTAGGCCGAGTATGTGTAAAAATTGAGAATTCTAAGAGTTCCTTCACTTACACCATTAAATTTTGCAAATAGGTATTTCATTTTATGTCTTAAAAATAACGGTTTTGAACAATCAAGTTATAGTACACACTACATATATTCAGGTGATTAGAAGACTAGTCAACCAGTTTTGGAGGTGGCTGTCTTAAATTAGTAGTAGAAAGGCCCCATGAATTTTCATTAGAGGCAGACTGGTGAAAGACGGAGGGAGTTGAGGAAAATGTGGTGAAGAGAAATGGGCAGGAATGGCAAAGAGATATTCCTTTTCGGTGTTCCAGAGGGCATGTGTTTTATCAGTTTGTGTAGGAAACACACATTTCTGCTTGTATCAAAAATGGCCTTCTATAAACACTTGCAGAAATGTCAGCTGATCCCAATGCATCTCATTTAAAAACGGAATATGCTAGACCTGGCATGAACAGTGCAGGGAGGGAAGAGAGCAGGGGAAGCATGGGAAGTTAAAATGATGCCTAAATGCAAAGTTCAGAGAGGAAACCTGGCTTCTGGTCCACTGTACAATCGTTAAAAGTAATGGAAAAGAATGAAATACTCAGCTGATAATTAATAATGACCTAGTATGGTTGGCAAAGAGCAGCTGAAAAGCAGTCATGGGATAAGTAAACAGCCACCATTGTTCATTTTTTCATTTTCCCTTTAGATACAATTTCTGCATAGGAAGTGTGAATGAAGTCATAAAGCTGCTTAGCGTTTGCAGCATTCCCCAGAATACTTGTGAGCCTGTCTTGTGACAGGGTCGCTAATTCTGCAATGTTCTTAATGTGGTTCATCAAGGAGTGACAGTTTTTGGCATTTACCCCCGGCATTTTTAACAGGAAGTCTTGGGGACCAGGATTGTACTTTTCTGACTCGGGGAGGTTTTCAGAATCTGCGGTAATGGCCAGTGCTGTTGCTGCATCAGGCTGTGGCTTATTTTGTTTCAGCTCCTCAAACAGCTCTGCAGTGGCATGAGGGGAGGGGCACCAGAGAACCCGGAGTCTGGGGAAGTGAAGTGTGAGAAGAGTGAGCTTGGAACTGATGTCGCTGCTGGAGATCTCCTGATATAAGGCACCTCGGGACATGAGAGAGAAGGGCTTACTGGGGTCGAACTCAATCAGAAGCACAGGTTGCTTGTAATAGCGGGACATGGAGATGCACTGGCTGTAGAGGCGGCCGTTGTTTAAGGAACCAATTAAATCACTGATACTCTTGCGCTCCACACACATTTCTGGAGTAAGGATGTAATCTCCAACCTCTAATGTCACTGGTTCAATGTCTATGCCCCGACGATGGATCAGAGATGGGAGCTCACTTCGAAATTCACGCATATCCACAACTATGCTGTGTGATGTACCATTCTGCTTCTGGCCACCTAAAAGAAAAAATAAGTAATGTCACCAGGGAGGAACTCTCAAAGAGGGAATAAGATCTATGTTTCTGTTGTTAACTCTGAGAAATGGTTACATAATACTACATGGTATTACCCCACATTTTTCTATATTTAAAAAAATATTTATTTATAGAGAAAGTAGAGGCAATTTCCCTTAAACTAAATAGACCTCACAGGCAAGTTAGAATTCATTGATAATTCCTTACTCATAACTCATAAATACAAAATATTTGCTGTGGTCTTTCCTCTGTAGTTCCCTCTATGATCTCTTATTGTTGTACTGACCACATTTTGTTGGTTATTGCATTCCCAATTCCTACACAGAGACTGACAATAGATATTTAAAATAGTAGACATGGTAGATTCTTAAAATTCTCACTGAGTAAATTGCCTTAGGGACTGCTGTGCTTGTATCAATGAGTCCAGAGATGGGAAAAGGAAGGAGCAGGGAAAAACAAGAACTTCTTAGAACACAGCTTCTCACACTCTAATGTGCAAAAGGGTCACCTGGAATTGTGTTAAAAAGTAGATTCTGTATTTAGCAGGTCTGAAATCTAAGAGGCCTAAGACTCCATAGTCCTAACAAATCCCAGGTGATGCTAATGCTGCTGGTTTAAGGAACATATTTTTAAGTAACAAGGGCTATTGTAGGCAGAATAATAGTGCCTCAAAGATATCCACGTCCTAGTCCTTGCAGCCTGTAAATATAGCCATGTGCTGTATGACATTTTGGTCTGAGGACAAACTGTACATACATACAATGGTGGTCCATGAGATCATGATACCATATTTTTACTGTACCTTCTCTATATCTAGATATACAAATACCATTGTGTTACAGTTACCTACAATATTCCATATGGAAACATGCTGTCTAGGTTTGTAGCCTAGGAGGCATAGGCCTAGGTGTGTAGCAGAGTAGGCCATCTAGGTTTGTGTCAGTATACTCTGTGATGTTTGTGCAATGATGAAATTGCCTAATGACACATTTCTCAGATGGTATCTTTGGTGAACATCTGGAGATTAGGAGATTACTCAGGAAAATGTTCTTAGAAGTGAAAGAGAGAAGCAGGATGATCAGGGAAGACAGAAGATGTGATACTGCTGACTTTGAAGATGGAGGAAGGAGCTATAAGCTAAAGAATGCAGGTGGCCTCTAGAGGCTGGAAAAAGCTGGGAAAGGGATTCTCCCGAGAGGCTCTAAGGAGTAATAGGGTCATGCTGACACCTTGATTTTGGCCCAGTGAAACCCCTTTGGTCTTTGGACCTACGGATGGGAAATAATAAATGTATGTTGTTTCAAAGCCACTAAAGTCTGTGGTTATTTGTTAGAGCAGCCATAAGAAACTAATACAAAAGCTTAGAGGACTGAACTCAAAGGACAACTATGAAGAGTTCTCTGTGTGGTACCTACATCTTCAACTCTGTCTTCCTTCTTGCCTTGCATTCTGTAGTTTTTGATTAAATATCACCAACCTAGCTGAATTAATAAGAATCTTCTTCAAAAAAGACAAAGATGCACTGAGGCAGTGTCTCTCAAAGTATGGTCCAGGCTGGGCGCAAGTGGCTCAAGTCTGTAATCCCAGCACTTTGGGAAGCCGAGGAGAGAGGATTGCCCGAGCCCAGGGGTTTGAGACCAGCCTGCACAACTTGGTGAGACCTCATCTCTACAGTATATCAAAAAAATACCTGAGCGTGGTAGCACACGTAGTTCTGGTTACTTGGAAGGCTGAGGTGGAAGGATTGCCTGAGCCCAACATGTTGACACTGAGGTGGCCATGAGTGTGCCACTGCACTCCAGCCTGGGCAACAGAGTGAGACTCTGGATTAAAAAAAAAAAAAAAAGTGTGGTCCAAGGACCACTCCATAAGAGGCCCCTGAGATGTGGACCCCATTTCACATCTGCCAGATCAGAATTTCTATGGATTGGGACCTGTGAAGCTATGGTTTTAACAAGCATCTCAGGTTATTCTTAACTCTACTAAATTCTGAGACTGCTCTAACTGTACTTGACCTTACCAAAGGTTAAATCAACTCAATCATACTGTTTTTCTCATGCCACTTGGCTGAAATCAGCTGCTGCCATAGGAAAATGGGAATTTGGGGAGTGGAAAATGATTACTTCTGGATCATGATGCACTGGGAACCCAGCAGGTCTCAGTGGCTGCCACAGTTTAGACACAGAGGACCAGACACCTGAGACCTGGAGAGATACCAAGAACACATACAAATACAGAAAGAGAATGGGATGTATGTAACCCAACCAATTCTCACCTATGTATACACCTAAGGAAAGAGGCTGAGGGACTAAGGAGATACTTCCTTTAGCTACTCTGTGAGCTAAACAGGCTTCTTTGGGTTGAGATAAGAATCTAATCACCATTTACTAAAGTTTCTTTGCGAAAGCACATTCTGAGTCTCAACCAGGCAAATTTATTTTATTTTATTTTATTTCTTTTGAGTTTGAATCTCACTCTGTCACCCAGTCTGGAGTGCACTGGCATGCTCATGGTCATCTGCTGGGCTCAGGTGATCCTTCCACCTCAGCCTTTCAAGTAGCTGGAACTACAGGCATGCGCCACCACGCCTGGCTATTTTCTTTTCTTTTCTTTTTTTTTTTTTGAGTTGGAGTCTCACTCTGTCACCCAGACTGGAGTGCAGTGGCTGCTCCCGACCACTGCAGCCTCGACCTGCTGGGCTCCGGCAATCCTTCCACCTCAGCCTTCCAAGTAGCTGGAACTACAGGCGCGCGCTACCACGCCTGGCTAATTTTTGATTTATTGTAGAGATGAGGTCTCACCTGCCCAGGCGGGTTTCGAACCCATGGGCTCAGGCAATCCACTCACCTCAGTCTCCCAAAGGTGAGGGATTACAGGCTGAGCCACTGAACCCGGCTTATTTTCTTTTTTTAAATTTATTGTAGAGATGAGGTCTCACCAAGTAGCCCAGGCTGGTCTCGAACCCGTGGGCTCAGGCAATCCTCTCACCTTGGCCTCCCAAAATGCTGGGATTATAGGTGTGAGCCACTGCGCCCGGCCCAGCCAAATTTAAAAGCAAGGCTGGAACATAACTCATTCTAGGTTGGGCGCCTAGAACTCAACCCTGCATATTTAGCAGATGATGTAGCACCTTTGCTCAAGGAGGAGGACATGAGTTTAGTAAACAGCAGAGATGAAGTTACAGTATGGGAACACACTGACCCGGCTGCCATTTTTAAGTTTGATAAGAAAATCCAACAACTCCAGAACTTCACAGCCTCCCTTACAGGCAACGGGGGTGCTTGGGAAAGGGCAGGACTCACCAGCTTTACGAGTGTTGGTGGGAACATTTGTAGATGCTGTGCCTCTCACTAGGTCTAGGTTTGTTTCATCTCTGCCTTCTCTTTCTTCAGGGACAACCATGCTAGCCTTTTCCCTGGGGAGAAAACATTTTAGACACCTTGAAACTATTTCAGAATTCTAGATTTTAATCTTTTTCAAACTGTGACAATGAAATGATCTACATGACTATGGTGGTAAAAGAGAATGACATGAAATATGTTGGAAGTTGGCCGACTCAGTGGCTCAGCCTGTAATCTCAGCACTTTGGGAGGCCGAGGCAAGTGGATTGCCTGAGCTCGCGGGTTCGAGACCCACCCAGCAACTTGGCGAGACCTGCTGAACTCCGACGATCCTTCCGCCTCAGCCCTCCAAGTAGCCGGAACTACAGGCGCGTGCTACCATGCCCGGCTAATTTTTGATTTATTGTAGAGACGAGGTCTTGCCAAGTTTCTCAGGCGGGTCTCGAACCCGTGGGCTCAGGCAATCCACTCACCTCAGCCTCCCAAAGTGCTGGGATTACAGGCTGAGCCACCGAGCCTGGCCAGAAGTCTTGACTTTAAATTCTATACTATTGAAATGATCTACAAATGTAAAGTTATTACTAGTACACCATTTTATAAATAAATAACAAGGGAGCAGACAATGGTTCCAATTTCATTTTTCCTTATTGTTCTCAATGTCAAGCGCTACCTACTGAAAACCCTATGCAGCGGCAATGGCTCTGGCTGCCACCTAGCCCTGCTCCATCACATCTGCTGCACTCTGGTTGGGACAAAGGGAAAACCGCTCAAAATGTATTTTTTTTTTTTAATTTATTTTTTATTTTAGCTCTTTATGTGTTGGGACACGTGCTCTTAAATTTCTTTTTCTTTAACATCAGGGATTAGTAAATTCATTGCCTCCCCCCCATTTCTACTTATTTTACTGGCTAAGCTACATATCACACACGGTAGCTCCCAACTTCCTGATTAAGTAACCTGTAATCTATGAGAGACTATATAGCACAGTGGGTTAGAGTGCAGATTATGGTTCCACATTATGTGGATCTGAGACCACTTGCTGGCTATGTGACTTTGGGCAAATTGTTTCATGGCTCTGTGCCTCAATTTCTTCATCTGTAAAATGGGGATGAGACTTACCTCAAGACTGTTAGGAGCATTATATAATACATGCAAGGCACTCAGAATAGTGCTTGAGGCTGGGTGCGGTGGCTCAAGCCTATAATCCCAGCATTTTGGGAGGCTGAGGCAAGAGAATTGCCTGAGTTCAGGGGTTCGAGACCAGCCTGGGAAACTTAGTGAAACCTCATCTCTGCAATAAATTAAAAAATTAGCCAGGCATGGTAGTGTGTGCCTGTAGTTCCAGCTACTTGGAAGGCTGAGGTGGGAGGATCGCCTGAGCTCAGCAGCTTGAGGATGTGGTGGCCATGAGCATGCCCTTACACTCCAGTCTGGGCAACGGAGTGAGACTCCAACTAAAAAAAAAAACAAAATACAACCAAAAAAAACAGTGTCTGGCACATAGTAAGTGCTATATAAATGCTAGCTGTTATTATTACTGTACTTTTCTTATACTATGGTAACCTCACCCTCTTATTATTCGTGATTAGACTAAAAAGCTAAAGATTTGCTCTCAAATGATACCACGATAGTTTTAATTAATATTGTCATAGCAAACAGTTTACCACTAAATGTTATAACATAACTACAAAGTGAATCTGAGAAAAAATACACTCTGATGATGAAGCCTGGACTATGAAGAAATTAAGTGTTCCTAGCCAGTAACTCATATTAATTTAACAGAAATTTGCCATAATTATAAATATTCAGACTCTGGGCTTTCCACATTTAGCATAATTATCCAAGTTACTCTATGTGCTAGACATGAAACAATAATTAAAAAATTCAGATTCTTACTTCTACTTAATCTAAAGTACTGAGGTTTCCTGTATTTGCTTTACTGTTTTCAGTGGCACAGCATAATATAGGAAGGAGGCACTGGACCAGAAGTCTCTTCCAGTGGGTATTTAGTCAAGCCCTCACACTAACCTATTTTGCAATCATATTTTCTTTTATTTTTTATTTATTATTTATTTGTTTATTTATTTTTGAGTTGGAGTCTCACTCTGTCGCCCAGACTGGAGTATGGTGGTCGCTCCTGGCCACTGCAGCCTCGACCTGCTGGGCTCTGGCAATCCTTCCGCCTCAGCCTTCCGAGTAGCC